CCTACCTACCTACCTACCTACCTAGCTACCTAGCTACCTAGCTACTTACCTACATACCTACCTACGTACGTACTTACAGTGTGCGTACGTACATACATACATACATACATACATACATACGTACACACATACACACATACATATACATATACATACAAAATGAATATACACACACACATACACATACACATACATATGCATGTACATGTACAGTACATGTACATGCATACATGCATGCAGACATACGTACATACAGAAAAACATAAACACATACATATGTATATATGTATGTATATGTATATGTATATATATATATATGTACTTAGTTACTTGCCTCTTTATCTATTATTCTTTGAATTATTTACTCCATATATATATATATATAAACACATGCCCCCCTTACAATGTGCAACTGTCTAATCTAGTGTAATTACACAGAAAAAAAAGAACGGCGAGAGAGAGAGAGAGAGGAACACACAAAACACAAAACAATCAAAAAGACAGAGAGAGAGAGAGACAGATGGGTAAGGACCATGACGAGATATCAGTGCTACTTACTCTGACCCCGGCAGCCTGCGTAGTATGGAGAACGCTTGGTTGGGTAGGGCTTTGGGCTCTTTGGCTCATGGGCTTGTGTTTCTGCAGGGTTTCGGGCCGAAGCTGGAGGAATTCAGAGCCGTAAGGCCAGGTAATTCAATAACGGAAGTACATTTGAGGGCCTCGGGCTCTAAACCCCAAACCCCAAGACCGTTTGGGTTTAGGGTTTAGGGTTTAGGATAAGTCTGCAAGAATCGGTTCGTTCTTCCTTTTCTCTCCGCCTCTCCCTCTCTCTCTGTCTGTCTGTCTCTGTCTCTGGCTCTCTCTCTCTCTCTCTCTCTCGCTCTGTATGTAGAAATGCATATGGTTTTGGGTTGAGCATGCACATAGATAATATAAACAGACATACAGCGACGTGACTGCGCAGAGGTTAAAGGCCTAGAGCACGCCCTTGCCCAAAACAACTGGACACCGAGTTGTACTCTTGCCGGTGCTTCCAAAAGCCTGTATACTCAAGTAACAGACCTTAAACTATACAGGCTTTCTGGTCTGGTTTCTGGTCTGGTTTGAGGTATGGTATGAATGATTAAGAAGATACGCTAAAACTAGAAAGAGGGTTTCTTACTGTGATCTAAGGTATAGTCCAAAACCCTTAACCCTAAAGCCTAAACTTACTAAAGTGGTTTTGGATGCTCTGGTGCCCTAAACCCTAAACCCAAACCCTGAACCCTGAACCCTGAACCCTGAACCCTAAACCCTAAACCCTAAACGGAGTGCCTCACCACCATCGACCCCGAAGCGCTTCGTGGTCTTGTACCTTGGAGCAGTGCTTTTGGGCTTTTTGGGCAGTTGCGGGTTTAGGGCTTTGGGTTTAGGGTTCAGGGTTTAGGGTTTGGGGTTTAGGGTTTAGGGTTAGGGGTTTAGGGTTTTAGAGGTTGTGGGTTTCGGGTACAGGTCTAGGGTTTAGGGTTATTTGGCATTGTACCTTAGAGTAGTGCTTCCAGCCTCACGGCTACACCCCCTAGAGCCGACACCCCCAAAGCCGCACGCCCTGTTTAGGGTTTAGGGTTTTAGGGTTTAGGGCTTTAGGGCTTTAGGGTTACACCCAAAACTTTAAACCCTAAAACCTAAATACCCTGAACCCTAAAACCTAAATACCCTAAACCCTGAACCTTAAACCTCAGGGACCAGAACGGCCCGACTGGCCAAGACGCTGAGTGTTGAGGAACTGCTCGAAAGTGTCCACCTTCATAAGCTCACCTGAAGTTTGGGGTTTAGGGTTTGTTTAGGGTTTTATGGCTTTAAGCTTTGGGGGTTTAGGGTTTAGGCTTTAGGGTAAACCCTATAAACCCTAAACCCTTTTTGGAGGTGTCGAAGTCGCCTTCTTCGACCCAGACCTGACCTTGAATCCCCCAAAATTTAGGGTTTAGGGTTTAGGGTTTAGGGTTTAGGGTTTAGGGCGCTTCAGAAAACTAGGGTAGATTCTTTGGGGGTTTGGGATCCAGGGGTTTAATTAGGGCTTTGGCCGGGAGTGATTACTACAAGGATTATACTTTGGGGTCCTCTACTACGGTCTAATCTTCGCCTGACACTCCCACATGACTAGGAAGTACTTCAGGACTTTGCCCATCAACCGCAACTAAGCCCTAAACCCGACCAGAGGCTATTACCCATAGGCTCCATTGCAGTTCCCATAAGGTAGCCCCCCCCAAACGGAATTACAACGGAGCCTGTGGGCATCGAGCGTGTTATTCGATCAAGGCGGTCTCTGAGCTCTGCGATTGGGTGGCAAGCGGTGGGGGTTAGGGTTGAGAACCGATGCTCGCGGCTTATATTACATGGTTGAGTAATAGGGGGTCTAATACCAATACTGAACATGAATTACAATTATCTACTATAGCTTACCCCGAAACCCTATTAAAGTTGTTAACCTATGTTAGCTTCGGTTTCGGGCTTCGGGTTTAAGATTTAGGGTTTCGGGCTTACGTCTAATAGCTTGGTCATGGGGGACTACATCGGGCTGGATTTCCCACATCTGCAAATCCAGTGGCTGTAGATCTTTGATAGCCGCGTCTTATCCTGTGCAAGTTTGGGGTTGTGAGATTTCACGTTGGCTTTCATGTTCAGCGCCTAAGGGCCGAAGCCTGAAACTACCAGTTCAGAGGTCGAAGGTTTTGTCGGGCTAAGCCCTGAGGCTGGCGACCAGAGAGTCTGATATATTCCCCCTCCCTAAGGGTCCAAGTAGTCCTTATTTATGGTTTTAGGTACCAAAAAAGGCCCCAAAGTCCTTAAATAATGGGTACTTGGACCCTTAGGGCCTTATTATAATAGACAAAGACTGTACACATGCTGCAACACCCTTTTCCAGTTACTAATGCCCCTATGTCAGGGCTCTTTTGTTGTTGAGATGTTGTCGAGACTTTTATTAGCCTTCTCCGGGGTATCAAACCAAATGGGGGACCAAATGGGATACCTATGATATGGGCACAATGATTTAACGCAAACAGCCTTCCAAGGATTACTAGTCTTCTGAGGTAAAGAAGGCAGAAGGGGTCCTACAACCCACAACACTAATTAAACCCACGTGAAGTCGTTCTCCTGAGCCTGACGAATACTTCAGACTCTGTGGCTTGGAGTATTGGGCTCTCTTGGAAAAACCGCTCAACACTTTCTATAGCCTGCATTGTACGTCCTTTCTGTACAAGTCAGTAACCAAGAAAGAAACTATAATGGATACCCTAAACCCTAAACCCTAAAGGCACTTTTATTGTCGCACCCCTTGCAGGCTGGGTGGTCCTTCGGGAGAAAGTCGGGGCTCTCTACACGCGTCCGGATCCAATCCAACTTCCTGGGTTGAGGGTTTAGGGTTTAGGGTGGCTTAAAGCTTACGGTTCAGGATTCTGTGTGGTCGGGCGATGTTGTAGCCTCGGAAATTCCAAGAAGTTAAGAACTTAGGCGCAGTGGCTGTTGGGATCGTGCAGGGATTCGACAGGCTCTCGCTGGTGCAGCGTTTAGGGGCTCAGGGCTTCGTGTCGGATCACGAGTTTAGGAATGATGCCAGCTGGGACTTGGGCTACGTACCTGACCAAACCACGCAGCTTCAAGTATTTAGGGTGTGGGATCTAGGGTTCAGTTTCAAGTATTTAGGGTGTGGGATCTAGGGTTTAGGGTATAGGGTATAGCTTTGAGCCATCGCGCGGCTTCAGGAGTCGACTCGTCATTCGTGGAGGGGTCAACAGACAACAAAGCCTCTGAGCGCCAACACCTAAACCCTGAACCCTAAACCCTAAACCCTAAAAGCCGTAAAGTTTCAGAAGATGTAAGTAATGAAGCACTTTGCTGCCAGGATGTAAGGGATGGGGGAGAAAAGAAGAGCCTCGCCACCAAATAACATATAACCCGGCTTCACCATCGACTTGATCATGCCCTAATTTAACCCTAAACCCTATGAACCTCTATAAACCGCTATAAACCCTAAACCCTAATTTAACCCTAAACCCTAAACCCCCAAGTCTTCCAAAAGCTTCATGTCTCAGTCCTGTACCCGATACCACAGCGCTTAAAAGATAAGTCACCCTGATCTGCATCGTCTGTTTTGGGCTTACCCTAAGGCTCCATGTACCCATATAGTAAATACTTAGGCCTTGAAGTACCTATTTAGGGACCCCTTTAAGGCCTAAGTATCTACTATAAAGGTACATGGAGCCTTTGGGTCAGAGTTTAGAGTTGAGTCTGTGCCCCGACCTCGTAGGTTCCCCGGTGACCCCTCTATATATTAAATGTATCCTTTTTCCTGCTCTTCAGTTGCTTTGAAGAGACCCCACAACGATAGAGATAAAACTCTAAGGCTCCATGTACCCAAATAGTGTATACCTAGACCTTGATGTAGTCGCCATATAGGTACTTTGGGGCCAAAGTATACACTATTTGTGTACATGGACCCTTGAAAAGGGACTACTGGGGTCCCTAGCCCTAAACCCTAAACCCTAAACCCTACACCCGTATCTTCTGCAACCATCAAGCGCAGCTTCTGGACCTGCCCTTCCCGACATCTCCCTGCAAGAGGGGGGGGGGGGGGTTATGTATAACTCCTGTAGAAAGAACAAGTAGGGTAAACAGCACCGACGTAGCCATAGCTGGAATGGGCGCTGGAAGGAATTGCGTGCGTTTGATTATTATGACATATGTTGATTTTTGAAGCTCATATCTGACCAGATCAATGCCCGAGGAGCTGGAGATCACCGATGTGCATGTACTCAATGCCGACGGTGTTGCAGTATACACTTCCTGGCATTGCGTAGAGAAAACACGAATGGAATTGCCGATATAATGACAGCACTGAATATCGCCGATGTTCATCGCAATCCTGATGCTTATCGTATATTTAGCACGGCTGACAACTAACAACTTTTCGTTGTCCAGTAGACCCTAACGACAGCAATCTCTCTTTCCTAGTGTTTCGATTTCAAGCGGAACCCCCAACAACATGGGAAAGGAAAAAAGGACACCACGGGGACCTTAATCAGTAGCTTGCTCTGTGTGTGTGTTTGTACATACATGCACACACACACACACACATATATATATATATATACATATATATGCTACCCCCCCCCTCCAGAATCCGCGCATCCACTGTTTGTAGCACCCCGGTGTTGTGTTTAGGCATTCGATTGCGCATTACTGGGACCGACATGAAGCCTCATAATATTGCCGTCAGTGTTCTTCTCGACTGCACGCATCCATGAGGTCCAT